TATATAAATTAGTGTCTTTCTTGGGCTTTAAACAACATTAGGATCACCTGAAACTTCCAGTGGTTTCCCATCTCAACTCATTGTAAAAGCTGAAGTCCTTGGAGTAGCTCACAAATTTCTGCTGCCTCTCATGCTGGTTCTCTTTCCAACATGTGGTCTCTGCCTCTTCTCCCCTCACTCTGTGATTCAGACACAGCCTTCTCTATGGTCCCTTGAAAACACCAGCCATGGGCCCATACCAGGCCCTTTGCATTTGTTCTTTCCTGTGCTTGAAATGCTCTTTTCCCAGCCGGCACTTGGCTCTTCCCTCACTGACCTGAAGTCTTTGCTCTAACGTCACCTTCTCAGTGAAACCTATACACCCTATTGAGAGTTGCAATACCCTTCTCCTTATCCCCTTTTAACTTTCTCCATAGTTCTTAGTCATCATGTGACGTAATGTATTACTTGTTTATTGTTGGTCTCTTCCTACTATAACATAAACTTCTTTTTGGCAGAGATTTTCGTCTGTTTTGTTTATTGCTATATTATTCTGCTACTGAGCATGGTTTCTAGCATAAAAGTATACACACTCAGTATTTGAGCGAATGAATCTACACTCTTACATTAAGCCTCTGGGTTTTTTTTTTTTTTTAAGGGTTATTTAAAATTCTCCAAAAACTGAAACTTTAAGACTTTTTCCCATCCTTCCTTAATGTTCACCATTGTGTCCATGGCCCCTTGACATACTATAGATGTATGTGTTTGTTAATTGTCTTTCCTTCTGTGCAATGTTTGGCTGCAGGAGGGCAGGGCCTTTCTCTCTTTTGTTCGTTAGTGTATGCTCAGTGCCTAGAGGAGTGCCTGACTCATAGGAGATCTGAAACTTATTTATTTATGAATGAATGAATTGGTGAGCAGAAGTAGGATGTACAGTAGAAATTAAAGGTTTTATTTTTGTTTTTATTTTTAATACAGGTAGATCAGATGAATAAGATAGTGGAAGTTCTGGGTATTCCACCTGCTCATATCCTTGACCAAGCACCAAAAGCAAGAAAGTTCTTTGAGAAGTTGCCAGATGGCACTTGGAACTTAAAGAAGACCAAAGATGGAAAACGGGTAAAATAGGGATACATTGTTTTGAGCCTTTGTTATTTCTTCACCAGAGCTTTTTATAGCTCATTTTGTATTTACTTGAAATCAGTGTTACAGTTAACAATTGCATTGATAATTCAGGTAGATATTTTATTCAAAAGCTGAATATAGTATGACCTGAACTATTTGTTTGGACCAGTGTTTGATTAATGGTCATTTTACAAACTGTATGCCTGCATTTTGAGACAGCTGATCAAATCACCATGCTTTGTTTCAACAGTAGAATCAATAAATTTGACCTTTGTTTCTCACAGCTTGGGCATATAGTGAAGTCACAGTTAATAATACTGCAGCTGTGAACAGAAGTCACAATTGCAGTAAATGGTTTTTTTAGTTCAGTTGGTGAAACATGTGGGAAGATTTTGGGCTTAAGCAATTTGTGATTTTCAAGGATATTAGCTGACTTTGATGGTCCTTTACTAGAGTTCAGATTCATAGCTTGATGACCTGGCCAGCCGAAATTTCACATTCCACAGTCTTTAAAAGTGAAGTTTTAAAAACATTAGGTTTGTTTTAGTAATTTTATCTGAGGACTTTTTTCAGATACTTAAACTATGTCAATTAATAGAGTAAATGATGGAAATTTTGCATCTTTATTTATACTTTTATAGATCTATAAATCATATATTTTGTAATACAGTTTAGTTCTGGTATTAAATGAGTATAATGTATAAATATGTGATTGAATGTGATATACACATACATACATACGATCATACATATACAAGTCACCTTGTGATTGTAGTTTTGCATTTTTAACATTTAAGAGGTGTTATTTTTGCTCCAGTTATTCTGCCCTTGCATTTTGGCAATGCTGCCACCAGGTGTCATTTTCAGTGAACTGAAGATGATGGTTGCTTTAATTCATTTCCACATAGCTGTTGATCTTAACTTTTAATATCAAGTGATTTTCTTTAGGAGATTTAAAAATACGAATGTAATTTTATCCTTTACAACTGATTTGTAACTTGTTGCCCTCTGCCTTATTCTCTAAAGTTACAAACAGTGCAATTTCCAGCTGCTAAATTATGCCTACTCCTTATAAGGAAGGGATGGAAAATACTAAGCAGACATCCTGAGTCCCTTCTTCTACCTATAGCTTATTAATCATGGCTCGTCTTCCTACTGAACCAAAACATAGCCTGGGAATCCTTCTTAGCCTCACCAGCATTCAAGGTAGCTTCTACCTTGAATTAGGTATAGGATGAATTAGGATGGAGGATGTGAAATTTCCTTAATGTTTTCTCTCTCTGCAATACAGCATGATACTTCTCTCTCCATTTCGAACTTATTTATTTGTTTGTTTTTTGCTTCTGTTATATTTTTTTCTCAAAACATCCATTCCATTTCCCAAATTTTTACCTTATAAAACCACAATTAAGACCTATCATTTCTTTCAAATTGATCTGTAATTATTTTTAATTAACTATAGATTTTTATGAGATTTCTCTTAGTCACACTTAGCAACTTAATTTTTTAAAGTGTGAAGTAACTATTTCACTTTTAACAAATTGTGTGACAAAAAAACAAATCCATAATCAAATTATTTCATTATGAAGGATACACTAGGAATTTTAACCAGAGATTTAAATAGATGTACACACACTTCATTGGCTATCTATGTGTAGTTGATTTGCTTAGTAATTTTACTTTTCCTTTTCTCATTTTATGTTTCAAAAGTCCGTATGATAGGCAGATAAAGAAACTAAAAGAAAAAGAAAAAAAAAGTCTGAGAGTTTTCCAGTAATGAACTCCATACCAACCTTTTCCATTTTTTTGGTGGGGGAAGGAGGATAAAAAAATAAGTCAGTAATTGCTATTTTGTTGAAGGAGAATTTATATGCAATAAGATACATATTTTAGGTGTTTGGTTTTTCCAGTTTTAACCTTTATATTGGAATGCATCCACTGTCTAAAACAATATGAAATATTTCCATCATGCCCAAAGTCCTCTTGTGACCCTTCTCTGTCATCCCACCCCTGCTTTCTATCATCATAGGTTAGTTTTGTGTGGTCACAGGCAAACTTCATGTAAATGAAATCTTATAGTATTACTTTGTTTGGTTTCTTTCACTTAGCCAAATACATTGTTTTTGGAGATTCCATTCGTGTTGTATGTCTCAGGAGTTATTTTATTGCTTCATAGTACTTCACTGGATGAATATACTATAATTTATCTATATTCACCTGTCAGGGGACATCTGGGTTGTTTCCAATTTGGGACTATCATGATTAAGATTCGTGGGAACATTCTTGTGTAAGTCTCTGTACGTACATGTTTTCATTTCTCTGGCAGTACTACCTAAGAGTAGAATTGTCAGGTCATAGGGTTTATGTATGTTTACCTTCACAAGAAAATACCAAACAGTTCTCCAAAGTTGTTTTATCATTTTATATTTCCAGGATATATCAGGATTCCAGTTGCCTGACATCCTGACCATTTAATGTGGTTGGTCTTTTGGATTTTAGCCATTCTAGGGAGTATGTGGTGGTTTGTATTTGCATTTCTCCATAATTAATGATACTGACCACCTTTTCATGTGCTTATTAGCCATTCATCTGTCTTCTTTGGTTACAGGTCTTTCCACTCTTTTGCTCACTTGTTACTGAGTTTAATCATTGTCTTTTGTTCTTAATTCCTTTGTCATATTATATCAATATTTTTTTCTCAGACTATGGTTTGCCTATTCCTTTTCTTAGTATGTTATCTTTTGATGAGCAGGAAATTTTAGTATTAATGAAGTCATATTTGTCAACTTTTAAAAAACGGACAATACTTTTTGTGTCCTACGAAATCCTTGCCATCCCCAAGTTTATGAAGATACTCTCCTGTATTTTCTTCTAAAAGTTTTTTTGATTGTAGTTTTTATGGGTAGAATTCTGTGATCCATCTTGAATGAATTTTTGAGTATGGATAGGGTGAAGG